CACACACACTCTCTCTCTCTGTCCTATTCACCCACTACCACCACCATACTAACACCACCATACAAACACCACCATACAAACACCATACAAACACCACCATCCCCACCACCACCAACAGCAAAAAGAGCGCAAGCGCCAGAAGCGGAACGGGGATTTGATTGGGGCGACACGCGATGGTGGTGATGATGATGATGACGATGATGACATTCCTGATGACCCGTTCTTCCGTGAGGAGCTTGAACGGATGGAGGCAGAGGGGATGGTGAAGCCGACACAGGCACACGCACGCCGTGGACACAACGCTGGTGGTGGTGGTGATGATGATGATGATGGTAGCGAGGGCGATGATGAGGGTGACGGCAGTGATGGTGTGGCAGCTGGCAAGAAGGGAAAGAAGGGAAAGAAGGGAAAGAAGGGCAAGAAAGGAGATGATGATGATGAGGAGGAAGGATGGGGACAGCAGGGGAAGAAAAAACACCGGAAGCCAAAGAGCAAGAAGCGTCGTGAGCTCCTGGTACGCGCAAATGCATCTCGCGCGCGCGTGTGTGTGAACAGGGTTGTGCGTTGGTGTATTTCATATGTGTGTGTCTGTGTGTGTGTGCGGATATGCGTGTGTGCTGTGAGAGAGAGTGTGTGGGTGTGTGTGTGTGTGTTCTGTGTGTATGTGTGTGCTATGAGTGTGTGTGAGTGTGTGTATGTGTGTGTGTGTGTGTGTGCTGTACTTAATGTGTGCATGATCGTCCTGTTTACCAAACCAACGTGCCCTCCTCCCCCCACTCCACTTGATCGTCGCAATCAGAAACGCGCCAAGGACAAGACGTCGTTCAAGGAGGATGATCGCTTCAGCGCTCTCTTTGACAGCAACGACTTTGCGTACGCTGTGGCGACACGACATGCGTTGTCTGATGATCCTGCAGCAGGCAAAGTCGTTCACATGTGAACCACAGACGCCCATGCACCCTTTTGCAATCACACACACACACACACACACACACACACACACACACACACACACACACACACACACACACACACACACACACAATTATGACTGGTCACTTTTCTGCTTTCGGCTCACCCCCCCCCCCCCCCCATCCTTCTTGTCCTTTCCTTCCATGATGGCAGCATCGACACGACCAACCCGAACTTTGCCGCGGACAAGCAAGGCTTCAAGGACATGCTTGCAGCTGTGGAGAAGAAGAGAAAGCAGAAGCAGCAGAAGGATAAGGAGAAACAGCACACAGCCAAGCGGGCGGCTGAAACGCAAGGTGCGCCCACGTGGTGGCAGTGGTGGTGGTGGCAGTGATGAAAGTGGCTGGTGTGAGATTTGACGCCGCTTATGGTTCCAGCAGGCACATGTCTAACAAACTCACACATAAACACACACACACGTCCACACACACACATCCACGCCCACATCCACACACACACACACACACACACACACACACACACACACACACACACACACACACACACACACATCCACATCATTGTGCAGATGACGTCGGGAAGAAGAAGTCGAAGTTGAGTGCGGATACGCAGCGCATGATTGAGAACTTGAAGAAAAGGGCAAAGAAGACCAACGGCGGCAGCGGCAGCAAGGGCACTGCCAAGACACAACGCGCCAAGTAGCATGCACGCATCACATACACCCGTGCACATGTGCAACACATACACCCGTGTGCAAACACACGTGCACACATGCAACACAAGCGACACATTATACCTCCCTCTCTTTATGCAGATGCTTGTGTGTGCGTGTGCGTGTGCGTGTATGTTCGACGGGGCGTGTGGGGTCACGGTGTTGCATGAATGGCGTTTCGAAGTTTTTTGATGTGATGTGACATAAACCAGAACTTAACGAACGTTGTGCAGCAGCCAGACGTGGTGCGAGGGCGTGCGCGAACGTGTGTGTCACTGCCACCGTTGGGGGTGAAGCTGAATGTGGGCGAACTGTGTCGTCACGCAAGCGCATGCGTGTTCCTTGTTTCATGTGTTTGTCTTGACAGCTGTAACCATGGGCAGGGCTGTTATCGTGTATGGCAAGCGCGTAACGTGGGACGGAATCGGGAGAGAGGCGCAATGAAACAACAGCCAACCACGTTGTGCCAGTCTTGTGTTTCGCACACAGGGCAACGGCAACGAAAACAAAACAAGTCAAGTAACACGACCAGAAAGTGGCTCGCCCCAAACATAGGTCAAAGAGTTGCAACAAGAGACCACCGACAGACGGCATTGCATGGCGTCCTTTCTCTCGCCCCACAGCACACAGACACAAACACATACACACACACACACACACACACACACGCACACACGCACACAGACACAGACACATACACACACACACATACACACACACACGCACACGCACACGCACACACATTGACACACACACACACAATCTACAGCACACAATCCACAACGACCAGCCAGGCAGGCCACGACCGCGGTCGTTGTGTCAAATGATGGCACGCTTGAGCATGGTGGTCACTTTCTGGAACACGGGCCTGCGCGCTGGATCCACGTCCCAGCACGACAGCATCAACTTGTACAGCCACTGATGAAGGCAGGGGAGTGTGAGAAGGGGAACGATGGTAAGTTGGTGATTGAGAGGATGGGTATGGTGGTGTGTTCATGTGTCGTGTGCATTGTGCTCGGAAAGGGGAAGGAGCATGCATGCGTGCATGCACGGAACCTACACAGGCAAAGTTGCAAGCAGACAGGCAGAGAGGCAGATAGGCAGGCAGGCACAGACACACAGAGACAGAGACATAAATACACACACACAGACACAAACACAAATACAGAAACACACAAATACACACACACACACACACAGACACACAAATACACACACACACACATACAGAAAATACGCAGGCACACAGACGCACACACAATCATTACCTCTGGCGCGGCTGCCGGCTTCTCGAGCCGTTCGCCCCTCTTGATGAGAAGAATGACATCGCGGCCCTTGAGACCTTTGTACGGCTTCTGCCCGTACGAAAACACCTCCCACAGCGTCACGCCGTAGGACCTGCGCACGACAAAAGGAGTGATTGGTGGTGGTGGTGGTGGTGTGATGCACAAACGTGAGCATGTGTGCACCAGATATGCACGGAACATGAGCGGTTCGTCTCACAAAAGCAACAACAGCAGCAACGACGACAACAACGATGACAAGAACAACGGCAGTCTCTTGTACGCCAGTGTGCAAACACTTTCCCTGTTCACGTACGCACCACATGTCGGATCTGGAATCGAAGCGAGAATAGTACAGGCTCTCTGGCGCATACCACTGCACACACACACACACAATTGATGGGGAGAGAGGACAATTGGATTTGTGATCAAGGACACACTCAGTCTGACTGACAGACAGACTGATTGACTGACAGACTGACTGACTGACAGGCAGACAGACAAACAGACAGACAGACATACGCACTGATACAGACACACACACACACACACACACACACACACACGCATTGATACAGACACACACAACGACACAACAACGCAAAAAAAAAAGCAAGCACGACCTCTCACACATGAAATATACAAACGCCACCAACAACGACAACGTCATACATGCGTCACAACGCACCTTGATGGGCCACGTGCCCCTGTTCTTTGATCGGTAGTAGTCCTTGTCTTTGCCAACGGCACGACTCAGCCCAA